GAAAAAGGTACACGTACGGGTGGAACTTGGGGATAGAGGAAGCATGAGGCGGCCCGTAAGAACCATGCGATGTGTGCTGCCTCCCTTCCTAGTGGATGCGGTTTTCGAAACTCGGAGCAGGCTAGTACGGATATGCCAGTCCATGACGAACCTCGGGCTATACCAATGCGCTAGGCAAGATTTTTTTCGGTTATCAGTAGAGATGGGGCCGTTCGAGGGGAACTGGGCGGAGGAGCTGGCCGAGATACTAAATTGCCTTAGCATAAACAATATCTTTGTCCCTAGCGCTGTGCATTGGGGGATAGTCTACAGGAATGTGGCAATAGGGGAGACGTTTCTAGATGGGGTAAGGGAGTTGGTGTACGACGAGGAGGACGACTTCAGTGATGAAGATGGAGATGAAGAAATAGAGGACTGGGACTTCTAAGAGGGGTAGGGTGACTTAACTTAGGAAGGACGGGTGGCCTGGTATTGTGCAGGAAGGGGAAAGTTAACTAGAGAAGAGATGATGATGGAATACACCTTCAAAGGTTCGGAACCACGGCGACTCAGGGGAGGAATAGAAATGCCTATACTGACAGAGAACGGATGGAGGGGGACCACGTGCGACTGGATTGGGTTTGAGGTTGCCCGGGACTTGTCATATGTATGGATAGAGCGGATTTGGAACCCGATAAGGGAAGAGGAAGGTTGGGATGATATAGGAGAAGGCAAGGTAAAGTCAGTCGGAACGATTGTCCTTTCCGAGGAAGGGTGGCACCTGTTTTGCACTATGTTAGCAACAGGACAGGACCAGATGTGGCTTCTAGGGGACGCAGAGGCCCGAACCCGAAAAGAAGGCAAGAGGTTTGCCAAGGAGGGGTGGGACGAAGTTAGTAGCAAAGTTGTGATGGGAGGGCTGCGCATAACAGCTTAGGTGCCCGAGTTCGTGGCCGACTGGTTCGGGGGTTTTGAGCACATAGCAGACGTAGCCGACTCCATGAGGAAAGTACACATAAAATGCGTCTGGCTGACCGAGGACTTCTATAGGTTCTCCTTAAAATATGGGTCCTTCTACGGGGATAAAGCCGGTGAGGTCATCACCATCCTGAGGATAGGTAAATACGACCGCCTAGAGGTAAGCGCGGAAGCTTGGGACGCCATAGTTAGCCGGGAGGCGGCGGCCGCACCATCCTATGTGGACGATGTTTTTATGCTGTTTGAGGTGCGGTGGTTTGATTAAAGGGGCTCAAAGTTTGAGCGACACAGGAAGAACGAAGTATGGAGGATGCATGTGAATTAGGGTGTAGCATAAGAAAGGGGCATGTACATTAGTCAGCAGAGGACGCGAGGAGGCCAAAGTAAGAGTAGGCATGGAGACGGGATAATGGCGGGAAGCAGTGTACAAAAAGTAGGGAGGGCCGAAAGACTAAAGCACGAAAGACATGGAATCTCGGTGGGTGCAGCAATCGGACTAAGGAAGTCGGAAAGGAGGCATTTCAAGATGGCCCGACGAATGACTTTCTGGGGGGACAGACCTCGTGGGATCCGGCCACCAAGAATATCAGAAAGCAGGGTCGAAATAAGCCTGCCGGCAAGAAATACGGTAGGCAATCCGGTAATGGACTGGGTGGGGGTAGAGTTGGTGGAAGATACAGTGTACCTAGTAGTGGAGCTGGAATGGTGTGCGAGAGGGGAGTTCGGGGGCATAGACTTGAACCTCCCTGGGCGTGTACATGCGACAGGATCCTTACACCTGTCGGAAGAGGGATGCCGGACCTTTGGGATTGCCTTGGCTTCCCGGGATGACCCCGTGCGAATGTTCGAAGAGGCATGGCAAGTAACCTGGCGGGAGGGGTTTGAGTTTGCAGACCCAGAACGAGATGACGTGACGGCGGAGGTAAGAGTTGCCGCAACAGGGGTTTTCGAGCTGCCAAATGAGGTCGTACGTATGAGTCTACCACCCTTCCTGCTAAGACGGATGGGAGGCATAGAGCGAGTGGAGCAGGCGGTGACTGCCGTAACTAGGCTAAACATTGACGAAGCATTAACGTATCAAGAATACTATCGAACCTTCCTAGAGATGGGGCCTTTAGGGGAGGAACAGGAGCGCGAGGTGCTTTGCATTCTACAAGCAGTAGTAAGTACTAGGCCGGGAGTCCCACAAATAAGTGATGAGGCCATATGCAGAGTCATCCGGCAGGAGGTAGGTCGGGGCGCGACCTACGTAGATGATCTCTACCGACTATACGAACTGCCAGAAGGGGCTACTACTCCCAGGGGTATGGAAGGATAGTTGGGACTAGAAGAGAGGAATGAAAACACGAAGGACAAGGAGGGCAGTAGGTGGGCGGTTTCTGGGGATTGGCTCTAACCCTTTCTATGTGGACTATGCAGGGAATTACCACCAAGCCAACGATGGCAGCAAGACGTGAGCGAATGGAACGCCAGCCCCATGTGCGAATGGAACACCAGCCCCGGTACCCCGGAACGCCTTGGAATAACGGTGGACGATGGGAACTATCCCTCCCATCAAGTTCTACCTATCGGGGACTCGACATAGAATGGCGGGCCGTGACTTTGGGATGGGACGCCGCCTTCATGTTGGTAGAATGTCGATGGACAGGGATGAGACTCAATCGAGGACCCGGGGACGATCTGTATTCCAATTTGGAAGTTAACGGGACCATGTATCTGCCTGAGATCGGCTGGCACTCGTTGGGGGTAGAAATAACACAAGGTCATGAGCTGGCACCGGTCTTTCGAAGGGTCGCCCGGACGTTGACCCGGATAGGACAATCGATCAGGGGTAGAAGGAACATGGGCTTACTTACCCGGGTGGAAATGGGAGGTTGGAGAGAGTTCAGGGCACCGACCACACCGCTGAGGTTCAAAGCACTAGGTGAGGGTGACCTTGGGACGAATGGCCTGCGCCCTGAGCATGAGTGTGGGCGGCCCGAGCCAACTGGGACCCGCAGTGGGGTCGACTAAGGCTCGAAAGTCTACCGGGGTTTGGCCCTACACCGTCCCGGACATTCAGCCTAAAAGCCTAAAACTTAGGGCTTACAGGCCCAGTTCGTTTCAGCCTGAAAGCTGAAAAACGAGGGCATGCAGGCCCTACCCCTTTTCAGCCTATTTCTGGGTCTTTTCAGACCCAAAGTTTTCAGCCTGAAACGGAGGGCCATTTTCAGGCCCCTCATTGTTTCGACCTGCCCCTAAGACTCAGGCACGTAAACAGGGATGCGGAACAGGCCAGAAATAGCCTGTTCCTCACGAGTTTGAGCAGGAGCTGCAGCTGCAGTCCCTGCCTCCCTTCGGCAGGCTCAGGAGGCACACCCGGTAGTACATAGGAAGTTCCCATGCACTTCACGGGTAGGTAGTTCAGTAGGCACGAGGTAGTCTTCAGGATTTCAGCCGCAGCACTCAGGAGGAGCGCTGCAGTAGTCTTCAGCGCTAGGTGGTATTAGCGCTAGCTGTAGTCTTCGGCGCTGGGCGCCGTAGCTGTGGCTGTAGTCTTCAGCGCTGGGCGCTGGTAGGTGGTAGATCGTAGAGTGGGAGAGAGAGAGACTGGCGGAGGCCAGTGGTACTTACCTGTGGCGCCATCGCTCCAGCTTCATCTTCGTGGTACCTGCATCAAGACGCCAACTTCACAGGTTAGTACTGGACACCGAGAGAGAGAGAGTTCTTTTTCTTCCTCTTCTAGGTCCACCTTCTCTTCTCACCCTCTAGCCACCTGACTTCTCAGACTACGACAGAGAGAGACAGGGTTGTGACTTGGGACTTGACGACATTGGATCCAGACTTGACATTTGGGATTCAGACATTTCAACGAGGGACTATTTGGGCTTGTGCCGAAGACTTGGTGTTGACGACATTCCCATCTTCCCCCTCCTCTTCGTCTATCCCCTTCCTCTTCGTCTGTGTATGGTATGGGTTGGCGCAGTCTTCCTGTGTGAAGCGCCAGGCCCATTTCACACCATGTAACGATGATGATGATGTATGTTCAGGGCTGCATTGCAACATTGATTGTTCGGATCACTGGTATCTCAGTTTCCATTGTGCTATCTTATACTTTGTATTGAAAGGTCAGTTCTTGTTCTGGTCTGCACGTTACAGTATGCAACAGTTTGGTATCGGAGCGGACCTCTCATTCAGAGGACCGGCTCAATCAAGTAGCCAGCTTGCGATCTATTGATCACTCATTAGTAACGCAAGTAGGACTTAGTCAAATCTCTGGAAAAAAAAAATTCTCGCAACAACTATCTGAAAATTTCTGATATTCGCATTTTCGTTCTATCTGAAAATTTCTGATATTAGTAGTTCGTTTTTACGTGACAAATATCTGAAAATTTCTGAAAAATCGCATTTCGTTTTGTCTGAAAATTCCTGATAGTAGCATTTCGTTTCTCTGATATTTCGCATACATAGCTGAAATTGCATCGAGGCCTCTAGCCTTTATCTCGGACAAGATCTGGCCCTAAAAATCGATCAAAGGACGAGATCACACCTCAAAAGTAAACACTCTTGAGATATGTTGTGCTTAGAGCCTTGAGAAGCATTGTGGAACTCCCATAACCTTTTGTGGGAGTCCCAAAGGTTGCTCTTGGAAAGGAAGACAACCTATATAAAAGAGGGAGGCTGCAGCTCAACTCATACTTGCTCCCTACGTGCAAGTGCTGCCCAAAAGGCTAGCGGGCGTGCCTTTAAGGCCGAGGGAGCAAGGAGAGGCCTTGGGAGTGCCTCGGACCATTTAGGACACATAAGAGGGGCCCGTGGGCTGCCCAAGGTGTGACGGGCCACCTACTTAAGGAAGGAAGGTTGGCCGTCCCACTCACATCTCATTGAGGCAATTAGACATGGCCAAAGTGTCGCCGGTAGACCCCTTGGCCAAACCGGATTGCAAAAGGGGTGTTGTAGTATTACTCTAGAGAGTGTAGGTAGGGTGGAGGCTAGGAATAGAAACTCAAGAGGCTGGGGAGAGTGGCACCAGGAGGGGCTCTGACATGCCTCCTTGGCTCTAGAGGTAATTGAGAGGTTCATTGGGGTCCCCTTAGCCCTCATAGAGGGAAGGACTCCATTGCCCTAAAGGTAGGAGGCTGGCCATAGCCAAAGGAGGGGGCATTCCGAGGAGGAGGAGGAGGACTTGAGGAAGAAGGGAACCATAGCTAGAAGACAAGTGTGCAAAGAAAGGGGAGGACTCCATAGCTATGATGATTGGAGCTTGTGGTAATTTGGGAGAAGGAGAGAGAGGAAGGAGAGAGGCTTGAAGAAGAAGAAGACCATAGCCAAGAAGGTGCTTTGTGCAAGGAGGGGAAGCTTCATCAAGAGGACACCAACATCAAGGAATCAACAAGGTGAGAGTAAGGAAGAGGCTTCTTCACCTTCATCTTCTTCTTTTTCCTCCTCTTCTTCCTCTTCTCCTTCTTCTTCTTCTTCTTCTTCTTCTTCTTCTTTTCCCTCCTCTTCTCCTTCTTCTTCTTCTTCTTCTTCTTCTTCTTTTTCTTCTTCTCCCTCCTCTTCTCCTTCTTCTTCTTCTTCTTCTTCTCCTTCTTCTTCTTCTTCTTCTTCTTCTTCTTCTTCTCCCTCTTCTTCTTCTTCTTCTTCTTCTTCTTCTTCTTCTCCCTTCTCTTCTCCTTCTTCCTCTCCTTCTTCTTCTTCCTCTTCTACCTCCTTCACTCCCTCCTTCTTCCTTCTCTTCTCTCCCCTCTCCATCCCCTCCGTCCTCCTCTTCACTTCCATTCTCTTTGTCTTCCTCCTCTTCTTCTCCATCTCCATCTCCCTCATCTATCTCCCCCCTCTCCTCCATCTTCTCTTACTTCACCTTCCCTCTTCCATGGGCTACTCCAACTCTTCTCTTTCACTTATACACTAGGGGGTAGTGCTCCGATTCAAACATGGGTGCTTCTTGATGCAATCTAGGTGATTTGGAAGCTTCAAACTTGTGATTTTCACACTCACACTAGTAGGTAGTGTAGCGCTTCACACATGGATGCTTCTTGATGCAATCTTGGTGATTTGGGCTCTCCAAACTTNTGGCAGGGATGAATTCTGCCAGCTTGCAACAAAGATCCTGGTATGACGATTGTGAATCCCAGGAGCTCTCCCTGAACCATTGTGATACCCCTTGCAAGCCGTCTGATCCATTCGATAAGTTGTCAATGGCATCAGTGAGTTCCATGAAGTACTGAGCAAAGCGCGCACGAGCCTGCATAAGGACACAACACCTCCATCAGTAAGGGAATGAAGAACTCTTTGATGTGACTCATCCGACCAACATAACTTTTCTTCAGGGTGTTCAGTGCCAGCCTGACCCAAAATGATGTTTAACACCAATTGGCCCAGCTCAGTTGTTACACCCATGTAGTGTTGTAATGCAGACCTGAGTTTGAATACCAATTGAATCACAAAAAAGTGAAAACAACTCTGAATTTCCCTGGGGCCAGTCAGCTCAAAGATGATGTGAGGATTGAGCCCTCAAGTTGGGGCCTTGCCATGATGTACATGTTCTGGGCTAAGGCCCCAGCAAGCCTCGTGCCCGCCCTAAGTGAAGGCGGGCCAGCAAATCAACAAGAGCCCTCTGTGCCAACATTTCACGAAGTGGGGTCCATACAGTTGCAGCACGCCAGTTGGTTGGAGTGCTCCGAGTCTCGTATTTCAGCAAATGCTGAAAGCCCAGGGCCTCTGAGTTAGTTAGGCCCTGGGCACTAGAACGTGAGGCCGACAATGCGTGCTGGGTACAGAGGCCGAAAATGCCAAAGGGAAATCGGCCCACTATCTGAATCTGGCCGCAGGCCTTGATGAAGGAGGCGCAACTGCATTGCCCCAGGGCCCAACTGTATCGGGCTGGGTTCAGCCTCTGGGTCCCGGTCGCAGGCTGAAGGAAGGCCACCCACACGCTGCACTGGCATATAGGCAAGCAGGGCGAGTGGGCAGGGATCTTGGCCATTGCGGGCAATGCCGGCACGCTGCGCTAATGCGAGCTGCTGCTGCTGCTGCGCTGCGCTAAGAGAGGTGCAAGGCAGGCCAGCGCTAGGCGGTAGGGCGCTGCCTGCGCACCAGGGCACAGGGCGGCCATAGCCGGGCCGCATGAGGGTGCAGTAAGGGTGAAGGGCGCAGGTGGTCTTCGGAGGTGAAGGGCGCTGTGTGGGTACAAGGGAGAGTATGGGTGAAGAGGACACGTACCTGGTGGAGGTGGAGGTCGGCATTGGTGTTGACATCATCACTCGCTGGTAGTCAAGTTGTCTGGTTGCTTTCATTGCTGTAGTTGTAGGATAGGCTGAAGAGTAGATAGGGCGCCTGGAGCCATTCACAAGAGAGAGCTACATTTGGGTTATGCTGTTGGTGTTGCCCTGTTGGGCATGGACATTGACTCACGATTCTTCTGTATCATTCTCAATTGGATGGTTACTCGGTTCCATTGTACTATCTGCTTTGGCTTTGACTACTTGGACTTCAGTGTGATTTTGCATTCTGGATTTCTGCACTTCGTCCATATTCATGTTCCTTGCAATTTGGTATCGGAGCTGGTTTGATCGCCACTTACCTTTGGCACGCTGGCTTTATACAGACTTGGTGCGTTGACGATGCTTCTTCGCAGTGGGTACTTGTGACAACAGGCCACTATAGGTGCACGCCCTGGGTAGAGAGGGGTGCACCGGAAGGCTAAGACGGCAGTGTATGCCATGGGTTACATGCGGAATGTATGATTGGTGATGAGAGCATGCTGATGTTGCATTCGGCTGAGGTGGCACTGCATTGCGTTGTGGGTGGTACCGAGGTCAAGACCGGTCATCAAATGCACATTCAGCTCAATTGGTGAGAAATCTGTGGTTGGGGGCAGCTATCTCCAGGTACGTTGTTCCCTTACCTTATCTACTCTCTCAATCTCTTCTTACCGTGAGGAAGTGAGTCCAACTTGAGAGTCCTCTCTTTTGGTGAGGTGTCGTGAGCGCGCTACCTTGAGAGACGAC